GGCTGGGGCCTATTGCACACACCCCTCCCCCTACCATCCATCTAGTTGCTCTTTGCTAGCTGGAAATAAAGTTTTAGTTGTAGATTTTTAGTTATGCATTTCTAAATATTCATCTCATCCACCAACTTCTGATTCTCAATTTTTCACAAAATATTATGTTTGGGCAGCTTACAAATGTACGAGGCAAGGAGCCATTAAAAAATAATAATAATAAGAAGAAGAAGAAAAAGAAAAAAAGAAATTTATAATTCATTCAATTGTGTAATTTCATCGAGCACATGATTGACTAGTAGACAAATGAAAGGCATTCACGGCCAATCTCGCCGACGAGAATCGGACCCAGTCAGATGGCCTCAGAACTCGGTCACCAAACCGAGCTGACTCACTGAAACTCTCTCTCTCCACTCTCATCGTCGCCACTAACTCATTATTGCTCTCTTTCTCCTTCCCAACCTTCGTCTTCATCTTTCTGATCAAACCCCAAAACCCCTCAACCAAATCATTCTTTACATTCGGCACCGCCAAAAGCATCCCTTCGCAATCCTCCGACCTCTTCAATGCGCCCAGCAACTCGACCGAGTCGCCGAAACTCAGACAATTGAGCCGCTCGTTAAACTCGTTAACTCGGACCGAAATTTCGTTCATTGCAGAAATCTGATCCTTGCCCACCAAACCCAGAACCTCAATCACCAACCTGTTCCCGCCCAAACCCAAGGACTCGGGCCGTTTGCAAATCTCCTCAAGCAGACTCACTAGCGACTCGGTCTCTCGGACCAAGTTGGCGTTCAAAAGCGACGAGACTCGCTCCTCTTCTCTGTCTTTCTCCACGATGCAGGAATTCGAGCCGACGAAGAAACCCAGAAGCCGAGATGTTAAGAGGAGGTTTTCGATGTACTGAGCGTACCATCGGACCCAGGAGGAGAGCTCCCAGGCCACAGGGGTAGAATCGTCTCTGAAATTGGAGAGATTGAGGTAGTTTCTGCCTCCGCCGGAGGGGTACACTGAGAGCTGGTCCTGGAGGCCTCCGCCGGCGGGGTACACTGAGAGCTGGTCCTGGAGGATGAAGGAGCCGTACTTGATGACGTGGTGGACGGCGAGGAGGCACTTGAGGGCGACGGCGGAGTCGTGGGTGGTTTGGAGGCGGTCCATGAGGGACTCCACGGCGGAGGAAGCGGTGGCACGTGAACTGAGGCCAAAGGAGAGCAAAGCAGCGAGGCTTTTGGGGTTTGGGGGCGAGAAAGGGTCGTGGGTTGTGGCGCGGAGGAGGGTGAGGTGGAGGGATGAGGAGGAGGAGGAGGAAGAGGAGGAGGAGGAGAGAGTGTTTGTGTTGAGTTTACAGAGGATTGCTGCCTTGCTTTGGGAGGCCTTGTCTTTGATTGCCCCCATCAGCTCTCTGAGCTTTCTTCTGCGTCCCATGTGAGAGAGAGAGAGAGAGAGAGGTCGGAGTATCAAAAGACACAGCAGACTAACAGAGAGCAGTTTTTTTTTATTTCAATTATTATTATGTATTTTTTATTATTTCTGAATGGGATTTGATACCTAGACCATTTAAGATTCGGTAGACTAAACAAATGGATTGGACATTTACGTGTGTAATAGTAATCGGTTTCATCTATTGTGACCCTTTTTGATGTTGAAAATCAAGGTTGGTTCTCTCTCTCTCTCTATGAATATATATGGATAGCAGCAACTAGTCAAATTTGGAAGCTGGGTTGGGTGTTGCATCGTTTTATTTATTTTTAGATTAAAAATATAAAGCATTACTCAAATGTACATCAATACTTTATTATCTATTTGTGGCACAATTTGCATTCAAACATTAGTACTTTATATAATTGCTTAATTCTTATTTAATTCTTATTTTAATTCTAGTGGATTGTGACACTGCCCACATTGACAATTTTATAAAGTACCTAAAAGCACCAGTTAGCCAATTATCGGGTTGGTCGAGGAAAATGTACCTAAAAGCACCTATTAGTATTCAATATAGGGATTGCTTCGGATTTTTTTTTTTTTTTTTATAGGGCTACCAATTAATTAAAAATTGAAAGATAACTATATGACTCATGTTGATGCCTAAATTTAGTTCAACAGAAAATAATCTCTTCAAGATCGAGGTCGACAATCCTTCCAAATCAACAGGGAGCTTCAGTTGAGGGATCTCTCAAATAAGTTTATTTGAGGGATCTCTCAAATAAGTTTATTTGAGGGACACTCTTGTAGAGTCCACTTCGTATTGTATTTCACTAATTCAAACTATCTATTTTGTAGATACTCATTTAAAAATCATCTCTACAAAAAATACTTGAATCCGATATCCTTCCACTGTTCCACATAAATTCTCATAGCAATTTTCTTTCTGTTTACCCTAAAGATAAACATGCAGAAATGACTTTTTGTTTACCCTTCTTTCCTTTGGTTTTAATGGTATTTTTCTTCCCATAATAAATATTTATCTAATAAATCCCTAATTTCTTGAATGATATATATTTTTTTTATAGGTACAGTATTCTGGAAATGAAACAATAAATCAACCCAAAGTAAGTTACTCACACTATTCGTGTTTGACTATTCATCCGAATATGAAACTTTCCATTTGTACCATGACATTCTACAGAGTTATGCAACTTTCCTTTTCTCTAATTTCTATTTATCAATTCACTTATTTTCGCATTTTCTGATGTTGTTTTCATAATTAGATCTAATTATAATAAGGAAGGCATTAAATATCAATGAGCTCATACGCAATGGTGACTCATCACACTTCACATGATTAATAATTTATACAATAACATTTACATGCAATCATAAATAATCATTTAAACAAAACTTTAATATGCTTTTATCAATCATGTTATTTATAGGTTTAACATCATTTGCGACACTCTTTCACTGGAATCTTCCCCAAACTTTAGAAGTTAAATTTGGTGGACATATATAGCATACAATATTCAGTTCCTTATATTTCACATGATTCAAGGAAAAGATCTTGATCACATATTGGATAATAATTAATTAGAGAACATAGCATAGCTCACCACATTTAATTATTGAGATTTGTGTTCATGTAGCAAGTAAATTACATTGATTCAAGGAATGCTTTGAAATATTATACGAGATTTCCCTTCATATCCTAATTCAAGGTACATCATCTTTTGAAAACATCAAAAGAGTAGCAAAAGGACAAAAAGGGCTTGAATTTTATTTTATTTAAAAAAGTCATCACTGCATGTTTGTCTTAGGCTTAAGTGTTACAGTGCCCCATGAAACATTGGTCAATTCTCACTAAACCCTCTTAAAGTTAAAGTGACCCACTTTGCTCACTTGACGATATTTTGTGTCTCACTTTGCCCATCACCATCAAGTATGTTAAAAATTCAGTTAAAAATGTTGACGTGGCACCAGTGGCGGATCTAGGAATTTTTCAGGAAAGGGGCAATGTTAAAAGGCTAAAACATCCGAAATAATAATTGTTTGCGCTAAAACTAGATGGATAGTAAATAGGCCAACTTAAAGATGAGGTGGATGCTGAAGGCAAGAACCCTCAGTGTGTGAGAGCATTCGGTAAGTAAATAGGCATGCATACAGAAGACAAATGTACGTGGTTCACCCGAATAATGGGCTACGTCCACGGGGAAGTATGTTCTCATTACAATAATGTGAGTATACATTGTACATAGGTTTAAACTCAAGGAGAAGAGGAAGAATACTGAAGGCCGAAGGCTGAAGGCCGGAGACTGAAGGTCGGAGGCTGAAGATCTGGCTGAAGGCCAATGTTCCGTGGGCTTGTAAATGGGCTCATGGGTAAGCCCATGAGGCCCAAGTAGCCTGCCCAACCCTCCTCTTTCTTGAAGGGGAGAGGTCTCCTTTTATAAAGAAGGGAGAGTCCCCTCCTCTTGTGTTTTGTCGATGTGGAACTCCCTTCCCTTTGGCTTGGGAGTGTTTGGGGTGTGCTTGGCCAGATATTGTACAAACAATAATAATAATAACCAAATAGCCTTACAATTTAAACAATACTAATATTATTCATAATTAAAATAAATAAGAGTTTTACGTCTAAGCCTAATCGACTATAGTCTATTTTCTATATAAATTAAATGCACAAAATTCATGTTACACAATTATTTACCAAAATTAATATCAAATATGAACAAAATGCATGTCAATTACACAATTATTCTATCAAAATG